TTTCCCGGAAGAAGGCGCCAAAATCGAAAGTTAGGTAGCTAAAATTGGCATGGCTGGATTCCTTATGAAATTAACTTTTTAACGATGTGTCACACTTACTACTTTCCCTATTCAAATTGTTTGGATGATGGTCACCGAGGGGTGGGGAAAGAGGTATGACAGTTGAGGTTATGATAGGAAGCTGTTTTTTTCAGAACATATGTGTTTTGAAGATATTCGATCTGTTTCGTTTTCGGTGCCCCACCCTGTATGTTCAGAATAAAGACAATCTATCAAAAAAACATATGACACCAACCAATTAAACATATAAAGTTAAATCATATCTCATCCAGACAAAATTCTAATAATTGTTGAATTGTACTTGGTGTGATTGTAATGCACTGCTTGGAACCTTATGGTGTAGAAGTGAATATTATTGGAGTTTTTTGCCAACACCAAACCGTTATTTCAACACTTCGGCACGTGTTTCGATCACCAAGTGATTATCTTCAAGAGGAAGATCTTCCGACACGTGTCGAGGTGTTAAAGTCATCAATAAACAAATATACCTATGAAAGAAAAGCCTGAAGGAAAATTAATACCTTGCTTCGAGAATAATCTTTCGAAAGATTATTTTTAGATATAGCTGAGATAAATAACGAAGAGCAAGCGATGAATAAAAGATTAGACCCTAAAAATATCAGTTGAATTTATTTTGAAAAATCAACAAAAATCTCCCCTTTGATTTAAAAGATATGTGAAAGTTAGTTCCATCATTTCATTTTATTTCTGTTTCTCTTGTATTCATATGAATACATATTTTCAAATGATATGTAATAACTCATGCATATATAGCTGTTCTGAAAATAAACATTGCCGAAAGCTCGACATACACGTATATTTTTTTATACCAAAGAGTAGTTTTGCAGATCAAGGGGTTTTTCACATGACGGTTTCTCTATTTCAGTGAATCAGACACCGTTATACGATATGATGAAAACGTTTGCCCAACTGTTTGGGTATATAAACGAATTTAAAATTTAACATGGAATGGGTGCTGGAATGTATGCGGGTAGGAATTCACATTATAGTTTATCATTATTATCATTATCATTATTCTCAAAACTGTTAGGCCGCTTTAGGAGCATTGATAAAACCACACTGAGAATGAGAATGATGTGAAAAATCGAGGGAATTGAAGGATAAGAATAATAATGATAATGATAATGATAATAAATAAATTATATTCGTTTCCCACCCTCAGGCTCATAAAAGCTATATTTGTCGTGGAGTTTTCAGTACCTTGCGAGGCGAATATCGTCCAAAAAGAGGGGGAAACGGATAAAATATAGAGATTTTCTCTTCGAACTCCGCAGACTCTATCCAAACCACTCTGCCAAGATGGTCATTCTGATTATTGAAGTCCTTGGTGGAATGATGCCCTCTTTACTCTCGAATCTTAAAATCATACTGGCTTGCCGCATTAAGGCAGAAATCTTAGCTGTACAGATGCAGAAGGATGTCATTCTTGACTCACTGCGCTTGCTCAGGGCACATGATTCTTATACCCAACGATCACTTACCCCATGGTGTGGGGATTGGTCATTGGTTAATAATGCTGGCGCGCCCTTCCGAATGTATTGGAGCTTCGGGGAATAGGGCCTGACCAGCGCACACTACGATGAAATAATAATAATAATGATCACTTACTCCACGGTGTGGCAGTTGTCGTCGGTTGATAATGCTGGCGTGCCCTCCCGAATGTATCGGGGCTTCGGGGGATAGGGCCTGACCAGCGCTCACTACGGTGAAAAAAAATGCAGTCCTTCTCAACCACCAAAGCAAGACGATATTTGTCGTAGAGTTTTCAGCTCCTGGCGACACGAATATTGTCCGAAAAGAGAAGGAGAAACGGATAAAATATCGAGATTTTCTCTTCGAACTTCGCAGACTCTATCCAGACCACTCTGTCAAGATGGTTGGCACTAGGATTTGATATGTCCTCCTTTAGAGTAATGTTTAAAATTAACGCGAGATGATCACCCATATTATTCATAGGTAGTCAATTTCAGTTTCAGGATTGTATTTTCATAGAAAAATATACGCGTGGATTCATTTGGGAGGTCAAGATTTAGACTCTCAAGAAACCAACAGATCATCTAGTAGATTTTTGTCATTGTTTGGCGCTGAGTAATCAATATCGAAATCAACACGATTGCATATTTTATCAAAACGATGATCATAGTTATTTAATAAGGAAAATCAAGAAATGTATCCAGCTTGCTATCCGATGTTCTGTAAACATTAACAATTAATAATGTTCTGTTTCTATATGTAACACAGATTGCACAATTTTCAAATGTATTTTCCTCACTGACAGTCTGACACCGCTTTTTGACGAACTTTTACTGTTTACGAATAATAGAGAACCACCATGTATTTTATTACTTCTAGTAAAGCTTGTGATTAAAGTATATTCCGGTATGAGCATATATTTAATGTTCTCATCTATACACCAGTGCTCTTATATACAAATTATGTCTAGTTTCTTCTTTTGACAAAAAACTTCAAGATTCAGTAACTCATTTCTTAAACACTGCAATTCCATGCTGACTATCGTAAATGTAATACCGCCGATCAGAAACTGCATCTATAGATCCATTTGGCCAGGTCTTTCGATTCAAAGTAGTTTTTAATGACTCTCTATTGATTGTTACTTTCATCGAGGAGTATATCTCCGACCTTCTAGAGGGGGTGTAGGTACTTCACATACTACTTCAGTTAGTTTATGTTCCAGAAACTTTTGCAGTTCTTTCGGTTCTGTACCAGTTCTGCACCAACCTAGGTATCGTTTTATGCCACAATGAGATTATGTGTTACCTTCCTTTGTTTCACTTCTGACCACCCATAACTGGTGTTTTCTGCAGTTTCATCACAACCCTAGTTCAGTTGCTGAGTCATTTTCATGATCATGCATCATTTATCTTGCATGGATGGCTGTATTGAATTGCAGAGCAGATATTTGAGTAGGTTTGGTATTCTTATCATTAGAATGCGAATAGGTCGCTTTTACATAACTTTTTGACGACGCGTTGGCATTTGTTTCAAGTTTGGGTAACGGCACCGTGTGTTTAGCCACTGCTATTTATGACTTGTCAAGTTGGTTGCCAGTGTTCCCACTTCCAAGTTACAAATGTGATGGGGATGAATGTTTACGTTGATATTTGAACTTATTTTGTCCTCAAAGAAACAATTTTTTTCTAATAATTGGCAGATTATGAAGTTCTTATGAGCAATAATTGTTTTCAAGTATGATAGTTCATTATCCGCTGGATTTTCATTTGAATTAACTAAGTCGTCCAAAATTAACGAGTTTAATACACCATCATCATAGTCGAGTTTCACAGTTTCAGTTAGATTTTTTTTGCAGCAAATCATACTAGAGTCTGGAATTTTTTAACCTTTTAAACGTTTGGCACAACTTGGATACGCTAATGCCGCACTTACATCACATTTCACACCATTGTTCACTTTTTTATTACAATATTCACACAGACAATGTGACACCACGTTTTCATCGTCCGCCATTTTACAATAATTGAACGATAGAAAAGAAGCCAAGTTACACAGAAACGACATACTAGCTAATTATTTTGTTTTTTTACATATTTGCTATAAATGATTATTTCGATAAAACACTTGCTTTTCGAGTTATTCGTAAAATATCGTCTGGGAGTATGGGTTGAAAAATCAACATGGTCATTAACAAATACGTAAAATAGCATTGGCTTTCAGAAGAAACTTCATGACACAAATTTTTCTGAAAACTTGTCAGTCGATTAGAGAGAACTCGTTATGTCATTTTATTTGAAACATCAACACCCTGGCATCCACACATTAGGTAAAATTAACCCCTGTATAGGAATAATTACACAGATAGACCATAATAATGGTTTCAACGCAGATACAATCCAAAAGTTAGTCAGAAAACAAAGCCAAAATTCACTTACAGAATGATATACCCCCAGATCAAATAATCAGAAATTAAGAAAATGGGCAACTCTAGCATATTTTCGTAAAGGAACAGCGATAATTGCGGGTTTTCTCACACGAGCAATGTGCAAGTGGTATTCAGACCACATGCCAGGTTATCTGATTTCCTTTTTAATGCCAAAGATAAAGTGGACAAGTTGGAGAAATCTGGAGTTTATAAGCTCAAGTGTCCGGAGTGTAATAGTGTTTATGTGGAAAATGTGGTCGAACTTTGTCGAAACAGTATGCAAAACATAAAAGGTCGTTCAAACTAGATCAAATTATTCGACGTTTTCAAACAATTCATTGACATGCAACCACAAGTTCCCGAATCTGAAGATACGGAAATTTTGCTCTATGCAAACTCAATTGTTTGGATATTTATGTGATCAAATCGATTCAGTTTATTCACCGGTTTTCAAATTAGCGTATCCATATTGTCACAAGTAAACCGTTAAGCTCAGTTAAGCTAAGTACCTTTATTATTATCTACAATCGTGTTATATAAGGGTTAATGTAATCAATCATTTTTAGTTTGATGTATTAGTTTGAAAATGTCCTTATGGGAAAAGGATATATTTTTAGGAATGATGAGTTTTTGGAAACGAAAGGTTTTGCCTTTCTACTTCTACATTTTGAACAGAAAATGTTAAAAACTCCCAAAAGAAGAAAAAAGCAATCAATTTCAAAATAAACTCCTTACAAAGATACAAACTGAAACAAAAGCCCTCTTGAAACTTCTATATAAACATTCATAAGTAACACCTGGTTTTCTATTTCAATTTCATATAAATCACCTTTTGAAATATGCAACAAATATGTAACTCCTCAATCATTATATAGTATTGAAACCATAGTTTATAAAAAAAATCCACATATTATAAACAGGTAATAATACAAGTCCACCCATATTTTGAGTTCAGTAAAAAATAAAATATGTTACACTGATGAATTATTTTCCAGTAAAATTAGTATACATATAAACCAACCTTTCATTTGACAGATGCTCTTCAATATTGTCTATTTTCATTTCCATTTTTGATTAGGCCATCCGAACTGGAAGTTATTCAAGTAAACTAGTTTTGCGGAGTTGAATGTGGAACTGATAATGCTCAAATGTTATCTTATCGCTTATCGTAAATTTAACATATCAAATGATTATATTTTCCACTATACCAGCATCATATACGTCGCTGACTTGAATGAGTGAAGTGAGTGAATTTCCCTTGAAACTATAATATGCAACAGAGTCAAATTATCAGAATATAGATACGATTGAAACAAGAAAACAGCTCAAAAATGATATTATCGCCCAGTCGAATTCGACATCAAAATGTTTTCAGAAATCATCGACATCAAAATGTTTTCAGAAATCATCATGTACCTTACGATATCCACTCAGAATACCTACACAGATAACATAAATCTGATAATGAAAACTGGTGAGTGTTGGTTTTCGAAGCACGAGTTCGGGAAAGTATTCTGGTTATTATTTTCATAATTTTCATTTTACTTCAGAGATTTCTGTTCGACTTACCTCAGGATATTCGTATTGTTTGGGTGTTCGAAGTGTCATAGGGAACAATACACACATACTGAATACATTTTCAAAAGTTCTAGTAAGCATTCAATAACTACATAAAAGGCATGGCAGAATTATTATACAGTGTGCAAAAGTTAAATGGAGTAAATTCATTATTTTGACTACTGTAGATATTTTTTAAAATATCCCGAAATACGTCAAATGTAAATTATAATTTGACGTTTTTCAACGTAAAAATGTCACCCCTACAGTCAACCCCCTTCAAATGACAGGTAAAACTCCCAATTTTTATTCTAAAATGTTACCGCTTTCAAGTTTTCTGCAACAATTAAGATAAAATAAATTAAAGACATGTGGCTACCGAAATTCGAAAAAATACACTAAAAAACTTAAATGTAATGCAAAACGTAATGAAATGTAGAATACGAAAAAGAACTGTGGATGTTAACGAAGTAGATGTTCAAAATATTCACCGCGAACGTCTTGGCAACATCCTAATCTCAAATAAAACTGTCTTCTAACATTATTTGACATATCAGGCGTGACCAACCTAATCGTGAGAGTAATTCGTTCTTTCAGGTGATTCAAATCTGGATGCTTTGTTTTGTACACATTGCTCATCACATATCCCCATAAAAAGAAATCTAATGATGAAAGATCAGGTTATCGCGCTGGCCATTCAATAGATCCTCGCCTCCCTATCCACCTATTGGGAAATGTATTGAGGTATTGCCAGACATTAACTTGGTAATGTGGTGGTGCTCCATCCTGCTGAAATCATATCGTATTCACTGGAACTTGTGGGTTTCCTGGATCAGGATATAAATTTGCTAAACTTGGAATGACCTCATTTTGAAGTAGTGCCAAATAATTATCGCCATTCAAATTGCCTTCAATGAAAAAGGGACCAATGATATGGTTACCTACAATCCCTGACCAAACATTAACCTTTTGAGGGGATTGCGTCGCGGCAATTTTGCCGATTAGCATGACCGTTAAGAGACAAAGTACACTCATCAGAAAACATAACGTCTTCTAACTGGATGATACTGTTATCCGACATGTCCATCATTCACTCACAAAATTCAATTCTTTTATCAAAATCGTCTTCCATGAGCTCCTGACTAGGTATCTATCGATGTACGGATAACATTGAATGTAGTAGGTAAATGCCAGACTACTCAATATCTGTGGTTTTCCCTCAAACTCAAACATCAAATATGATTTGAGTTCATAACTCATTGTATTGAAAGCTGCTTTTCTATCTACCCTATTTGACCAAACTCGCGAAACTGCTTCTCTATTTTGCTTATTGTTCATTGTGATATGGGCGGTAAATTAGGAAATTTCTCATGAAATAGGCGAGCTACTTTCTGTTGTCTTCGGGTTTTACCTCCGTAAAATCAATCATTTGTAAAACTGCTATAATATTCATTTCCGTTAGTCCCACCATTTGTCAGACTTGAAGTTAACGAACTTTAAACTCAAATTGAAATACTGACAACTAATGTTGTAACATACTGAACAAGTTAACAATGCGTTTCAATCGAACGGAAATTATTTACAGTTTTTTAAAGTATACCATCTGAAAAGAACAATGCTATGGTTTTTGCTTACTTTCTAATTATCAATACCTCAACATGAAATAGGTTTCGACTATATTGCAAAACGTTTTCAGTATGTGGTGGTGCTCCATCCTGCTGAAATCATATCGTATTCACTGGAACTTGTGGGTTTCCTGGATCAGGATATAAATTTGCTAAACTTGGAATGACCTCATTTTGAAGTAGTGCCAAATAATTATCGCCATTCAAATTGCCCTCAATGAAAAAGGGACCAATGATATGGTTACCTACAATCCCTGACCAAACATTAACCTTTTGAGGGGATTGCGTCGCGGCAATTTTGCCGATTAGCATGACCGTTAAGAGACAAAGTACACTCATCAGAAAACATAACGTCTTCTAACTGGATGATATTGTTATCCGACATGTCCATCATTCACTCACAAAATTCAATTCTTCTATCAAAATCGTCTTCCATGAGCTCCTGACTAGGTATCTATCGATGTACGGATAACATTGAATGTAGTAGGTAAATGCCAGACTACTCAATATCTGTGGTTTTCCCTCAAACTCAAGCATCAAATATAATTTGAGTTCATAACTCATTGTATTGGCAGCTGCTTTTCTATCTACCCTATTTGACCAAACTCGCGAAACTGCTTCTCTATTTTGCTTATTGTTCATTGTGATATGGGCGGTAAATTAGGAAATTTCTCATGAAATAGGCGAGCTACTTTCTGTTGTCTTCGGGTTTTACCTCCGTAAAATCAATCATTTGTAAAACTGCTATTATATTCATTTCCGTTAGTCCAACCATTTGTCAGACTTGAAGTTAACGAACTTTAAACTCAAATTGAAATACTGACAACTAATGTTGTAACATACTGAACAAGTTAACAATGCGTTTTAATCTAACGTTACCACGGAAATTTTTTACAGTTTTTTAAAGTATACCATCTGAAAAGAACAATGCTATGGTTTTTGCTTACTTTCTAATTATCAATACCTCAACATGAAATAGGTTTTGACTATATTGCAAAACGTTTTGAGTCTATTTTATCGAATTTCGGTAACCAATTCGGTAAAACAATTTATTTTATATTATCTGTTACAGTAAACTTGAAAGCGATAACAGTTTTGAATAGAGAATGAAGAGACCTTTCAAACGATATATCACAAGCCTTTACTTCCTATTTGAAAAATTGGGGGTTGTACCTGTCATTCGATGGAGGTTGGAGGTAGGGGTGGCATTTTTCCGTTGAAGTGTGTTTAAAATCTGTTTGAAATCTGTTTTTCTGTTAACCAGTTGTCGCACCCCTACGAACGACAACCCTCAGAAGTCGAAACTTGTGCGAGCTAAGGATTAACGAGGTCTCACCTTTTAACATGTTATTCCTAACACCGGTTGAAGGATAGCAAGTGAAAATCGATCGTTCAGACTTGAACCACCGACCAACACGGCACGGCAGTCAATTCGAGTGAGTGAACAAAGCACCCACTTCGAACCACTTAGCTACCAACTTGACGTGTTTCGGGATTTTGTTAATGTTAATGAATTTATTTCATTTGGCTTTTACACACTGTATACGAGTACTAGAGCAACGACCGACAGGCGTCGGTTTTGAATCCGAACACTAATTAGCCTGAGTGAAAAACGGGACAGTGAAATAGATACCCACAAAATTTTATTGTCTTTACGTTTTGGAGTTGGAGAAATGATTAGTTTCATGTTCGATACAATTGCTTCAAAATTGGGACTTTTTGATGTAAGAGCGATTTGAATACAGTCTTCGGCGTTTAATCGATTTCTGTTCTTCGTTTTTATGTTCATTAGAGTGGAAAAGCCTTGTTCGCACAAATATGTTGTTCCAAATGGCAACAATTTTTTAACAACCTCTTCATATGCAATTTTGAAAGCCTTTGCAGCTTTTGACATCCAAAAAGACGACAGATTTGGTTTACTCTCAAATTGAATACGTGCTTCAGTATTAGATCGAAGTTCAAGAATTGCTTCTGCCACACCTGAAGGTTCTTCTGGTATCATAGCAGTTTCACATTTTAAATGATCTACAATTCAACTGACAGTACGTGTATCAAGATCTGGAAAGTAATCTGAAAACCGCTTTCTGAGTTTGATAAGATGTCTTACAATTGTATCCTTGAAGTCAGCAAAAGTAATATTTTCGCAATTTTCCAAATACGCAGCTGACCTTGAAAAAGAAGCTATTTTGTTCTGTTCTACTTTCTGTCTCCAATATTACAGATTTAATCCAAACGCTGACAGAATTTCTCTCGCTGAAATGATATTAATATTCTTTACTAGCAATTCTTTGTTTAATATATTTATAATCTCAAAAATGTCCGCTAAATATGTGAGATATACAACCCAGAAAGACTTTTTAAACTTATCTGCGAGAATAGTTTTTTGATCAACCATAAAAATTTTGACTCCAGTTTTGAGAGTCCATACTCGATTTAGTACATTTCCGCGAGAGAGCCAACTTACTTCTGTATAATAAAGTAGGTAGGTCCGTATATTCAGCTTCACTGTCCTGACATAATTCACGAAATAGCCGCGTGTTTAGTGCATGTCCCTTGATAAAATTTACAATCTTGATGACATCATGCATGACGGCTTCCAGTGTAGGTTATAAATATTTGACCATAAGGGCCTGGCAATGGTTCGATCATACAGTGAGTAACTTCAATATTTGGGTTACTTTTTTACGAAAGCCGAAAAACCATTAATATGACCCAGCATAGCTGGAGCTCCATCCAAAGATACAGAAATACAGTTTTTCCATTTTGAACTTTGCGCATTGAAGTATTTATTTACTTTATTGTAGACATCAATTCCACGAGATCTCAACTCGAGAGGAGAACAAAACAGCAATTCCTCTTCAAAATTATCTGCACTTTTGTAGCGAACATATACCATTACCTGTGAATTGCTACTAAAATCAGTTATCTCATCAAGCTGAATAGCAAAATATTTAGCCTGTTTTAATACGAAAATAACCTGTTCCTTCACATTTTCTGCT